AAGTCAGTCTAGGCTGGAAAATGGACGTTTATGAAATTTGTTAAATTTGCTCTTGATGTTCTTGCTTCAAGAATGGAATACAATGCCAAATTACCATTGGCATTATAAAAAGTGAGGTGACTGTAGGCCGTCTTCCTGACAAGGCAGATGTGGCGATACCAGTTGCAACAGGTAGATCACATATAAATATACAGACATTAGTTCATTAAAATTCAAGTTATGACATATCCGACTGTTTTCTTGCAGATGTGGTGTGCATGCCGCATTCAAAAGAAAGCAGGCAGTCTTCTGGTCATGGATTTGGACATTCATTAATTCCTTCATTTTCAGGCACATTTGAGTTGTTTGTGCTTCAAAGTCTTCTAGAGTATGGAAATGTTCTCGTCGCTTAGTGGTTACCTTTTCTTCATCAATTTTTTTTGGTACTTCTGAATATGCGATACAATAGGGGATAATCCTCTCATTTCTTTAAATTTTTTCTCACCTGACTCAAGATTTGAACTTGAAATTTCTAACTTGGAATTTCAAACTCTTAACCATTGAGCCACCCCTTTCGGGGTACCTTTTCTTTGTCAATTCTCATGCTAAACTTGACAGGTGAGTTCAAATCACATCCCCAATGTTAAAAAAAAAAGGAAATGTCTTCCTGAGTAGTATAACAAACGATTGTTGCTTTGTGGCTTTTCCTTCATTACAAATTTCTCAGTGCCTTCTCATTAGTCATCAGCGCTCAATACTGTTCTGGGGCTTATATACTGGGCTTTGGAGGTCCAATCGGAAGAGACTTGAGAGTTATAATTAAAGCTCACTTAGGCCCAACAAGGTAAGACTGTCGATGCTTGTCATTGAGTTGGAGCCCATTATCACTTTTGGGTCTTTAACAATCGAATCCAAATCAAAATCCGGATTCGGGAAACACAGAGAAAAACTCATTTCCCTCCTCTCCTCTCCTCCCTTGCGCGTTTCTCCCCTAGCCATCCGGTGAAGGGCCGATCGCACCGGACGAAGCTCTGGCCGCCGACCGATTCTCGTAGAAAATGGACTTCGTTGGAGCCAAGAGATTTCGGTAACATAACACTTTGTTTTATGTATTTTGACGCTTTTTGGCTCCGATACGGCGCTCCGATGGTCGCTGGTATCGGTTCAACCTATTTGAGCGCTAGATCTGGCGCGCATCAGAGAAACGGCGTTCTGTTTCCTACCAATAAGGACCAGCCGACGCCGACCGGTGTTCCTAGGTGCTAATGGTGCTCCTTACCCCGCGTTCTGGATTGCGCCTGTTAGTGTTGGCGATGTCCTCGACATTTAGGTGCGTCCTCGCCGACTTTTTTTTTCTTGTTATTATTATTATTCTTATTTTTTATTTTCTTGAGGTATTTGTGTGCTGAGAAAATCTAGGGAAATTTTCTTCTGTAATATTGATTTCATGTTTAGTGAATTGAATGAGATCTGTTTTCTATGTTTGTTTCTTAGTTCTACTCTTTAGCGTAGATTTCTTAGGAAAACAAGAGTATTTGGTGAATTTAGTTGTTTTGGTTATGGAGGTGATATTCTGCTTTTTCTGCTGTTAAACTGCTTAGAGGTAAGGATGCGGCTTTCCTTCACTTGTTTGCATTTTCTCTATGGACTCACTGTTTTCATGCATCTGCCTGTTAGGGTTTACATGTCCTCGACGTTTGGGTGTTTACTTGCTGACTTTCTTTTTGTTGATTAATTTTTTGGCGTCTCTGATTGTTATACTGTTCTTATCGAGGTGTTTGTGTTCTAGGAGAATCTAGGGGAATAGATTGCCTGTTCTTTTCTTCTGTAACATTGATTTCATGTTTGGTGAATTGACTGAGATCTGCTTGCTATGTTAGCTACTTTGTTCTACACTTTAGTGTAGAATCTGTAGATTTTTTAGGAAAACAAGATTATTTAGTCGATTTAGCTGTTTTAGTTTTCTAAGGAAAAACAAGAATAAGTATTTGGTAACTTTGGCCATTTGATAAGGTGATTTTTCTACTTTTCTGCTATTAAAACTCTGAGAGTAGTAAGGATGCAGTTTTCCTTCACTTGTTTGCACTTTATGGTACATACTTTTTTGATGCATTTTATTTACTCCTAGGAAGTTGTTTGTTTTGTTAGTGGTTATCCTTCAATCATTTGGTAATCAAGAACAATGTGGAAAAGGGAATGGGATTTAATTGCTTGATTGCATTTGTTTTGTTGTTGAAAGTCCCTTGGAAATTGGTAGATATATTTGCAGATTTGTTCCTCCACTTTAGGTGTATGCTAGAATTTATAAGGTTATAAATGTTTTATG